AAGTTATCTAGGGCAGACACAAGAATCATCAAAGAACTCAAGTCTACAAGAAGTTCTGGGGAGATGGGGACCTTCATTCTGGAGGATTCCTTGGAGAATACTGACTCTGCTTTCTTATCCTACATACAGCTCAGTCCTTCCTCTCCTTTATCTCTCATAGGGCAAACAGACTATAGGAAAAAGGTGATTTCCTGAAGATCGTGCCAGACAATTCAGGCGCTCATGAAATAGCCACTGGAGCCATTTATAAAAAGTAATGGAAGGTCTGTTTTCTTCTCGAAAATGAAATGAGACGATGATCCTTAGCAACAGTGTGAACATATTAGCAATGGAATGGACATTTGAAAAGATTTTTGAGACAGGCCAAATGGCTACACAGTTCTGACTTCACAAAGAAAGAAGCATGACTAGGCAGTGAATTAACTCTTCATGTGTCACGCTCTAGTTGCTAAGCAATAAGGCCTTATTGATTTCCTTTTGGTCTGGATCTTCCAGGAGGTGCTAAATTCTGGGAAGAAATTATTTTGAACGCTGTACACTTTCAGATGGGAGGCAGCAGTCATCAAATGAGAACATCAGAACCTCACAGGTTATATGAGAACATAGAACAAGCGAATTTACCACCCAACGACCTAACAAGACAGTCAGCAAGACTTAGTGCTCAAGCACAGGGCTGACAAGGATTAAAGACAGTACCTGAGAATGGCTGAAAGTTCCAATATGTAACCTGGTTCAGATCACAGTCCGTCTATGTGACTATGCATTTTTGGACAGGGGGCTTTACACCGTAAAGTCTTCACAGAAACAGTGATATAGATGACACTCGTACGGTTGTTTGAGGTGAACATGAGGAGAAACAATGCAACATGTCTATAATGGTTAATCAGCAACTATAAAGATGATGCCCAAACAGTTTCAAAGCAGTCACAGTTAAACTTTCTCACAGGATAGATTTCAATTACTCAAACAAGTACAAAGAAAGAGACCGAAAATGCTGTGTATGTTTCAAAGCATACACCAACTGCTTACACAACATAATAGTATTGATGGAGAGAGAGCATTTATGCCTGACGGTAAGGTTATGATGTGTGACTTGTGGAACTATGGACACAGGAGACTTCAGCTCTGCCTTCAAGTTCACCAGATACACAGATAACTAACTAGGCATCCTAAGCAGGGTATAAAGCATTGTGGAGAATCCCCTGAGAGACTTTGGAAAGGCTCATGAAAAACACTCAGGAGCCTTCGCTTTGAAATCTGCTCTAGGCTTCGCTTACCACACCAACATTCCGGGATGGATGTTCTCCGAGTCTCTCTCAATTAGGCTACACATCTCAGCTCGACACCTATGATATTTCTAAACAGATCAAAGTTGTTTTCATATCTGTCAAGGCTATCTGATAAACTGGCAACATCTGACTATTGAAATGAAGACTCAACGAAACTTTCCATATGGCTTTGACCTTCTTCTTGATGAGGAGTTTCTACTACTGACCCAAGATGCTGAGAAGAGTGAGATTAGTCCGGTTAAATTATACTTATTACCCTTCACCAATCCGTGAGAGGAGGAGAGAGCTCAGAGTGTTGGGGGAGCAGTCAGTAGAAACACGTGAGAGGAGACACTTCAAATTGCATGCTGGGATAACCTAACGGATGAAGAGTTTATTGAAATGGATCCAAGGGGTAAACCAAGCTGTGCTTCACATGATTAATGGACTTTGGTTCATCGTCTCAAAAGAAGTCTGAATCAAGCCCATGGAAATGAGTAGTTCAAGTAAGACAGAGAGCCATGAAGGAGTGGTTTATATATAACCACTGTATTTGTTAGTCTAGCTGGTGGGCAGATGGTAAGGTCATCCTAGTAACCAACCACCCTTGGAATGATTCTGTAGAGACTCAATGCCTCCCCCCCCCCCCATTAATGACATACTGCAGGATACCTAAGGATCCCTGGTAGAGTAGTGGGTTACAGGTAGGGCTTCTAACTGCAAGGTCAGCAGTTCAAATCCACCAGCTGCTACTCAGGAGAAAGAGGAGAGTCTTTGCTCCAGTGAAGACTACGGCTTCAGAAACCCTTCGCAGAAACTCTATGGGCTGGAACTGTAGCAACAGGAAACTGGTATCTAGCTGTATCATTTCATTTGGTTTAAAGAGAGGAAGACGTGTGATTATTTCCACTTTTAAACCGCCAGCAACCTGGACTTTATAGTAAGTTGGATGATTCTGCAAGCTATCATAATATTGCCTGATAAGTATTATTTTTTTCTTATGCTATAACGTTACTGGAGTTAATGCTTCTACATCTTGTAATACCAAATATGTGCATAATTCCGAAAAGACACAGTTAGATACTGTACTTTTCACTGTCTTCACAGCACAGTGAACAGGCGGAGGGGTGGGGTACCCTTGTACAAGTTTCTGCATTAAGTCTTGAAAATGCCTCATCATGAGAAGAGGCATAAATGTCTTTCTTGGATGAAATCCAATTGGGCGAAATTTCTTTTAGGAACCTTAGGAATTGGCACTAGTAAAAACGGGGCTCTGTGGGAATGGCAGAAGATAACAGGAAGTGCACTGACATTACTTTGATGAGTTTGAGTATAGTGTGCACAACGGCAGGGAGGTAGATGCTCTTTGGTTCAGCTCTTCGCCACTTTCAAAGAGTGCGTATCCACATCACCTGACCTGGTCCCCTCAGTAATTGGTGCAGGTGAGAAAGAAATGCACTGTTTTTCCCACTTGCAGACAAAGAACCAGAGCAGGTATGTGACTACATCGTTAGCTGGCTGCTGACTCCTTGTTCAGTTTGTTCTACCACATGCTATTAAACAGGGTACCACTAAGTCCTGGTGTGGCGCTATTCGTTAAGATGCTGGACTGCAAAGTTGGTTTGAACTGCAAGGTCAGCGGTTCAAGCTCACCAGTCGCTCCCTGGAAACCCCAGACAGGGTCACTATGGGTCGGAACCAAATCGATGGCACTTGACATCAACAACAACACTGAGAGTGATCGTTCTACTTCATGATGTTTCTCAACACACTGGGGAGACTCGTCTTTCAGTTAAAATTCCTAAGTCACTGCTGTCCGGCGTGGTCTTCACAATGGAAGAGAATATATTTTGCTGACGTAGGCAGATGCTGATTGCCATGATTTGATCTACAGCAAACTGTAGTCATCTTATCTTCAACCACGTGGTCTACCACAAGCTAAAAACACGTTTATTTGCTACACCGACTAATTTACTCTGCCAAGAACAAACCAGCCCCTCTCTTGCACAAATTGCTGAACTATCTCCATGATATTAGTGGATCAATAATTAGTGGATAATTAATATTTTCCAGCACTTTTTCTTATGCCAGACTCAGCGATCAATGAGAAATTCAAACAGGTGCCTAGCATAGTGCAACCTCAGAGGGTAATGGCAAAGAAAACCATTACTGGGCAGGGTGGGGTGGGGGGGGTGGGTGGGAAATGCAGGTGCTGGGTAAATCACCTCAAAGAATTTCACTTTCATTCACTGACCCAACTAACTAGGTGTAATGTGCAGATGATACAACCTTGCTTGCTAAAAGCAAAGAGGACTTAAAATACTTACTGATGAAGATCAAAACCAATCTTTCAATATGGACTGCACCTCAATGTAAAGAATACAAAAATCCTCACCATAACATAAATAACATCATGATACATGGATAAAGACAAGCTGTCACAGACTTCATTTTGCTGGTATTCACAATCAGTGCTCGTGGATTCAACAGTCAATAAATTGAATGACGTATTTCATTAGGCAAATCTGCTGTACAAGACCTCTTTAAAGTGTTCAAGAGTAAAGATGTCAGTTTAAGGACTAGGGTGTGCCTGACTTAAGCCAAGACCCATATCAAGAATTGTTCCTCTTGATGTCATACTTGGTAAAGTGGAGGGTCATCAAAAATGTGGAAGACCCCAACAAGATGGATTGGCACAGTGGCAGCGGCAATGGGCTCAAGTGTAGTAGTAAAGACTGAGGTTGGCGCAGGACCAGGCAGTGTCTCGTTCTGTTGTGCCTAGGGTCACTCTGGGTCAGAACCAATTCAACAGCATTGAGCAAGAATAACAACAGGTATCTGCTGAATGAAACAAGTGTCCGAACCTTCAAGAAACCCTGGGTCCAATGACAGACAGATACACCAACATATGTTTCACATATGAATAACTGTGGCGAGTGGTTGAATAGAAGAGTTCTTATTTTTATTTACTTTCTTATCAAATGCCATATTTTAAATAAATTTCTCCTCTCTCTCTCTCTTGTTTTAATGAAAAGGCATGGAGCGCTAGCTTTGTACACTTATAGTACAGGTATAAAACCATTCTAGACAGTGAACGTGCTTCCATCAAATGGAGCTATTGAGCAGGTTCTTGAACTCACTGTTACCCTTTGCTTCAATCCGAATTCCCTTCTTTGCAGCCCAGTTGAATCCAGGGAAGTGTGGCCCATGCTAACTAGCAGTACTGCCCTCCATTCCTTGAGCTCAGAATCTCCTTTCCAAGTCCCACAGCTCAGCTCCTGTCTGCCACTCCTAAGAGATACAATCATTTCTTAGTCACAAATGCAGTGAAACGGAGCTTCCACTGAGCCCATTTATCCCTTTAGAGCCCTACCATTTCTAAGCACGAACTCAAGGTCAGTCGACGTCTGCAGAATGGAGAGCAGCGTTCTACTTATTTTACCTGGAGGCAATGCCGTGACTAAACACATCTGGAAAAAACTGTTCGGTGAGTTCCTAAGTGGTGCATTGCAGCAATGAGCCAATAACACCGCTGTCCCCAAACCTGTCAAAGAACAAATCACACACCCTGGAAGCAAGATTTGCCTGCGTGGCTTCTCCACTTCCTGGCCACATTTGGACAAAGAAAAGCCCTGCCTGGAGCCTGTACTTGTGTCTTGATATCTAAATAAATATATGGGAAAGTTATGGATACAGACACAGAAAAGGTTCGTGGACAAGAAATAGCCATACCCGTTCCTCCAGTCTAGCCAGCTGTTCTTTGTAGAATGCATCCTGCTTCCTGATCACCCGATCTTTCTCTTCCAGCTGCTTAACCTAAAAAAAGAAATGAGCAACGTTCTGTATCAAGGAAAAAGCAGCAACAGCACAGTAAAAGTCAAGTATAAATTGCATTAGAAAGGAGTATACCAAACTGATGACTTTTGTCGTCTATTACGTCTCTGCCACAGAAATACATTAATAAGATGATGATTGCTGTATTTAACTGTAAAGAATGAGTCTCTATTGTAATCTTTTTTTTTTTTAATTACTGTAACAGCTGTGTCCTACTTAATCCAAATATATTTGGGAGTTTCAGAATAAAGCACACCACAGAATGTCTTAATTTACTTCTCCTTTAAAGAGTAATTTCAAGGATTAAGATTTTGCACAATAACACTTACACGTTATACCTCTATTTAAACCTAAAACATGAAATCATGAAACTTCCTTCTAAAAGAACACTATGTTTCTAGGATATTTTGTACATAAACCTTATTCTTCGGGAAGCCTGAAATTACCCAGTGAACCCTGCATGTAAAAGACGCAGTGTTCAATTTCCTTTTCTAATGAAGAAGTAGTTGTTTTAGGGGTAGGAGGGGTGGAAAAACAACTCTAATTTTTTTACATGAAGGCTTAAAGCATCATTAGTTATCCCACTCCTAATTTAGAAGACTTTTTTTTTTCTTACAAAATTAGAAACAAGTAATAAATAATTCTGATCCTTGAAAAAAATAAGGATGGTTATCTATGAAGGCGCCTCAGGATTAGGGAAACAATGTCCTTTTCACTTTGTTATTTGTCCCAGGAACAGTCTGCTCACATGGGCCTTACCTCTGAGAGCATGGAATTCCCCACATCCCAAGTTAGGAAAGTCTTTCACATAGGAAGTGTTACTCAGTGAATGTGCAGTTCATGCCTAATGAGGCATTTTAAGAATAAAACAAGTGTAGAATTAGTCCACAATAGAGTGCAGAGCCGCCTGGTCAGCCCACGTCAGGGGTCTACCTGCACAACCGCCCATGATTCCTCAGGTAAACCCACTTGCACACAGACAAGTGGTTGTTTTGCTACTTACTTTGGCTTCAATCTCCTGCAGCATGTCAAAAACAAAACAGCAAGAAGTTATTTCACAATGTAAACACTGCTTCTAAGGAATGCGCTCGAGAAACCAGGTGGATTGGATCATAACCATCTGGATACGCCCTCAACTTCGAGGTCGGTTTGAACAGCAATGTTGGCAGTTCAGACTCACCAGCCGCTCCTGAAAAACCTTATACAGGGTCGCTACGAGTCGGAATCAACTCAACGGCAATTAACAAGATGAAAGGCAAAAAAGGCAATACGGAAAAACAACAGCACTTACTTAACTTGGGGCAAATGGAAATGCTTCTATGCTATTAAAGGTAGAATGTTGTTGTTGTTAAGTGCCGTCGAGTCAATTCTGACCCATAGCGACCTTGTATAGGGTTTCCAAGGAGCATCTGGTGAGCTTGAACCACCGACCTTGCAGTCCAAACGGCTTTGCAGTCTGTCGCATTAACCCACAATGCCACACCAGGACTCCAAAGGTAGAATAGATGATATGAATATACAATTCACGCTGCTTGAAAACATAGGAGAATGTAAAAACAAGCACAGAGTCCTGGTATGGCGCTGTGGGCTAATGCGTCAGACTGCAAAGCCATTTGGACTGCAAGGTGGGCGGTTCAAGCTCACCAGCTGCTCCTTGGAAACCCTATACAGGATCGCTATGGGTTGGAACAGACTCGGTGGCACTTAACAACAACAACACTCATCGATGACTCCTTGATTCAACACAGTAAAAACCTCACTGATTTGTCAGGAATTGAAAAGCAAACAAATTGTTGACGAACAATATGAAAACATATGAGTATGAGACTGTGGGTTAATGCTCTGGACTACATGGTTGGTGGTTCAAGCTCACCAACTGCTCTTGGGAAACCCAACACAGTGCGGCTATGAGTCAGAACTGACTCGACAGCCCTTAATAACAACCACAGCAACAAAAGGATCTAAAAGGAGCCCTGGTGTTGCAGCGATTGAAGCACCTAAGTGAATGAAGTGTTTGAACTCGCCAGCTGCTCTGCAGGACAGAGATGTGGCAGTCTGTTACCATACAGACTGACAGTTTTGGGGCAGTTACGCTGCAGCCTCTAGGTCACTATGAGTGGGAACTGACTGGGCGGCATAAGGTTTGGTTTCCTGTTTTTACATGATTTAACGAGAAAGAGTTGAAAATTCAACATGCATGTGCACACACCCCCAGAAATATGGAAAGAAGGAACTTACATGCACCTCCATAACACAAAACCCATCATTAAAAAAAAAAGGAAAAAGGAAAAGCAAATGACTAAAGACGTTTCAGAATTTGGCTGTGAGAGTTAATGTCATTAACACGTGACTTTTAAAACACAAGAGATTCTCCTACCAAAGGCCCGAAAAAAAAAAAAATACAAAAATGACATAGACTAGCAATTCACAAAAGGAACACAAATATCAAATACATGGAAAAAAATACCCAACTGCATAAGAATTTAAAAATGTAAAACAAAACATAAGATTCCATTATTCACTTGTAAAATTGGCAAAAATATAAAATCATACTGTAACCGTGTAAGGGAACATCCAGCAGACTCTCGTTACACCCCTCCGTCCCCCCTCCCCCCGGGGGTGGAAGACAAACTGGTGTTGCCATTTCTTCAGCCATTCTCACAAACTGTCAGTCCGTCTGAAAATTGTGCACATGCACTGAGGTTCAGAAACTTTTCTTAAATAATTATGGTAATATGCAAAGATGTTCGCTATAGGGTTGTTTCTAGTACCTTAATTCTGTTTCTCTCTTGTTTTCCAAATTAAAAATAAAGATACTTTAAAGTGTAAAACAAGGGTTGGGAGCCTTATGTCTGCCAAAATTTAAAACATCATTCGCAGGCCATACAAAATCATCAACTTAAAAAAGTAGCCTGCTATATTTGGTCAAACATTGAATTAACTAGGAGTCCTGGTGTGGTGCTGCAAGGATAAATATGCTGGACCACAAGGTCAGTTTGAATGGAAAGGTTGGTTGGTGGTTCAAGCTCACCAGCCGCTCCTCAAAAAACCCTATACAGGCACGCTATGAGTTTGAACAAACTCAATGGCACAACAACACAACAAATGTGATGGCTGGAACTGTGGTTGCTTTGGCAGGGCCAGGCCAAATGATTTCACAGGCCTTAGAATGCTGGCGGGCCAGACGTTCCCCACCCCTGGGGTAAAAGGTGCTGAAGGATAGGAACTATTCTAACATAAACTGGCAACAATAGTGGTTTGGGTACATAAGGCATAAACCCCAAACCAAAGGCATAAACCCCAAACCAAACTCACTGGCACCCAGTCTATTCTGTTCCACGACGATCTAGTATGGGGTTTACTAGCTGTCAATTTTTAAGGGAGCAGAAAGCCTCCTCTTTCCCCCACAGAGCAGCTGACGGCTTTGAACTACCATCCTATATCTCCACCAAGACTCCTGAATTTAAGTATAGTCCAGCATCAAAGATTCCGGTCCAGTCATATGCTCAAACATTAAGTAGGATCAGGAAATGTTTGGGGATCTCAGTAGCAACCACAACTTGAAGGACCAGATGGGAAATTTGGGGGTGGGCAGAGAGTTCCTGGGAAACGGGAGGAGTAACTCAGAGGAGAAGGATGACAAGGGTTGCACAACTACAATGTCATCCATGTCACTGAACTGCACATGTCGACATGGCTAAATTGGTGTATGTTTTGCTGTGCATATTCTTTCTCAACAACCAAAATTAAACATATAAATATTAAACAATGTTAGTACAGCGCTGCTTTAAAAAAAAACAAACCCAAGTGGTGGTGGTTATGTGTTATGGAGTCGGTTCTGACTTACAAAAACCCTGCACAGTTTGAGGCTGAATATCTTTATGGGAGCAGAAAGTCTCATCTTTCTCCAGCAGAATGGCCGCTAGTCTCGAACTGCTGACCTTGAGGTTAGAAGGCCGACTCACAACCACTACACTACCAGAGCTCCTTGCTATCACATGGAGGCCCCTTGAAAACACACTGACTGAAAAACAGCAACTTGATGAGACTGAGTGTCAACAACTTCTTTAAAACAAAGATGCTGAGGAGGGAAGGGGTCAGAGACACTAGACGAAGAGAAATGTCACATGGCTGGAAAGGAAGACTGGAGCTATGTCACCGAGCAAACTGTATAGGAGTTGTTGAAAAGAAACTTAACCTGTCATGTAAACCTTCACCGAAAACACAGCCAAAAAGAAAAAACATGACTTAAAAATCATGCTTTAGTAAATAACACTAAGAAAAACCCAAAATACTAAATGGGGGGGGGAGGAGGGGGGAGAGGGAGCAAGACATAAAACACAACACTGTACAGTAAGTTTTTAATTTTGGTACATAAACAGGGAGCCAGAGAGCAGAGATAATGGGGAACTGCATGCTTATTTGTACCGTAGAATTGACCCTGTATGAGGAGTGGCTGGTGGATTTGAACCACCAACCTTTTGGATAGCCATCCAGTGCTTATCCTACAGCGCCACCCCAGGACTCTGCTTAGTTGAGTAGACTTAGAAAAAAATGTGACATATGTAAAGATGCCTTCAGAGATTATGGTAGCAAACCCATCGGGCTCAAATCGAATTCCGACTCATAGTGACTCTATGTTGTTGCTGTTGCTGTTGTTGTTAGGTGCCATTGAGTCAGTACCAACTCATAGTGACCTTATGCACAGCAGAACGAAACACTGCCCGATCCCAGGCCAACCTCACTATTGTTGCCGTGCTTGAGCCCTTTGATGCTGCCACTTGGCCAATCCATCTTGTTGGGGGTCTTCGTCTTTTTCTCTGACCCTCCACCTTACCAAACAGGGCAGTCAAACTGTCTCATAGGGCTCCCAAGGCTATGATCTGGCTGGAAGCTGACTGTCTCATCTTTCCCCAGGAGAGTGGTTGGTAAGTTCCAACTGCTGACCTTTTGGTTAGCAGCCAAGCTTTTAACCCTTAACC